CCCACGCGTACCAATGGCATTCCCGCCTTGCTTTGGGTGAAATGATTAAAAAAAGATCAACTTCACTTGTGCCAAGTTTTATATTGGATTAATATCTGGAGAGATTAGAGGATACTCCATTAATTTGGCATCTTTGTAATTTTTCTTTTTTGGCAAAGTGGGCAATATTCATCCTAGCAGGAAATGAAGACGGATATCTTAAATCTTCTTGGTTGTGATCTGTGTCCCTCAAAAATGTCTTTTTAAAGAATTTAAAATAATTCTCTGCGATTATTTTTATGATATAATCAAAATTTATAATATTACTATCCGCAGTATTCACCCAAAACGTTACTCCACCTCGCCCTGTTGTCTTCTGATTCATATGGATTGGCTATTTTCATGAAAGAACCAACCTCTGATCCAGTCATCAGGTCCAACCAATGTAGCTCTGTATTCATCGCTAAAAATTACTGTTGAGAAATCAGTTTTCATTATTATTATTTTATTTATTTATTAGTATGTTATTTCTTTCTTTATTGTCATTATTATTATTATTATTTTTATTTTCTTTGATTTCTGGCGTTTACACATTTCTTTCCGGGTCCCGCCCAGGGACCTAAGGTTAGAAATGGCAGCATGACACTTTCCGCTGACAAAAAAAAAAAAAAAGAAAAAGAAAAAAGAAAGAAAAGAAATTACATAGATAAAGCCCTTCGTAAAGTGTGGGCTGTATTTGATTTGTCAGAAAATTTTTTTGTATCTCCTTGAGGCATGGACTTCCAGGAATCCCTTTAATTAGTCTACTGCAATCTTTTCCAACCAGTCCTAGGGCTCCAACTACAACAGGGATTGTTGATGTTCCCATATGCCACATTTTCGAGATTTCTATTTCAAGGTCCTTGTATTTTGACAGCTTTTTAAATATCTTCAAAGATACATTGCAGTCAGCAGGGACTGCCATATCAATAAGGAGGCACCGTTTTTGTTTGTGATCTTTAATAACAATATCTGGGCGGTTGGCTTTGATTGTTCTGTCAGTGTGTATTGTGTAGTCCCATAGAATTGTAACAGGTCATATCTCCGTAACCGGGTCTTGGTGGTGTTCATACCAGTTTCTTTCAGTTTCCCTCCCGTAGAAGTTGCAGATTTTCCAGAGCAGATATTGGACCACTCTGTCATGTCGGGTTTTATATTCAGTGGGTGCCAACACCGTACAACCTGATACAAGATGATCAATCGTTTCTGTATATTGATCACAGAATGTGCATTTTGGGCTGACACAATATTTTAGTATATGTGCTTGATAATTCCTAGTTAGCAAGCATTGGTCCTGCGCAGCAAGGATAAAACCTTCAGTTTCCGCTTTCAACCCTGCACTACGTAGCCACTATTATTATTATTATTATTATTATTATTATTATTATTATTATTATTATTATTTCCTTTGATTTTGGTGTATACAAATTTCTGTTCGGGTCCCAACCAGCAACCTAAGGTCAGAAATGTCATCATGGCATTTTCTACTGAGCCTTTTTTGAGGAGAAAATAAACAAAAACAAAAAGCTCCTAAGATCATAAACAGTTCATATAGATAGAGCCCTTCGTAAGGTGTGAGCTGCACTTGTGAGTAGAATATTTGTATTTCTCTAAGTCTATTATTATTAGTAGTAGTAGTAGTAGCAGTATGTTCTTTATTAGTAGTAGTAGGAGTAGTACTATGTTATTTATTATTATTATTATTAGTAGTATATTTATTTATTTATTTATTTATTATTATTATTATTATGTATTTTATTATTGGGTTGAAACAAAAGTTCTCAGTGTTTTTCAATAGGTGGCCTCTGGACGCGTGATTTTATTTCACACGTGACTAATATATACATATTCTGAAATGTGACATTTCGACACGTCTTTCTATACTATGTGAATTTTAAATGTTTTTAAATTAAGAATGAAAATGGAATGAAATGTGTTGCATTTTGGCCATTTGATACTCTTTTACTTCCGGGAAGGAAAGAAAAATAAAAAGAAAAAAAAAAAGAAGAGAAGATATATGCTATTTATAGAGATAATATAATAGCTGAGAGTACTCTTCAGAAGTGGCCCTTTAAATTTGGGTCTGGAAATTTTCATCTTTTGGAAGACCGAGAACGTTCCGACAGGCTTGTAAGCGTTGAAATTAAAAACCTGATGAAAAATAATACGAGCCATCGCAGAGATATTCCACATACTTCGTAAGGACGTTGTATGACATTTGAAAACACCAGAATACGCGAATCACGACGTTGTTTGGGTGCCTTACGATTTAAGGCAGTGGTTCCTCAACTTTTGGAGATTGCTCCCGACTTGCATACCAAAACACAACCATAACGCCCTCCAAAGGTAGAGACCCAACCCTAAGCCATTGAATGTCAAATGAATATCTCAGTATTTCCAGTAATAATTGCTATAGAAATGGGATTCACTGTAAAGCGAAGGCAAGACACTTCAGCTACATTGTGTGTGTGTGCATGTGCGTGTGTATGAGTCTGCATGTGTTTGTACGCGTGCGTGTGTGTGTATGTATGTATGTAGGTGTGTGTATGTGTGTATGTATGTGTGTGTATGTGCATATGTGTGTATAAATGTGAGTGCGCATGTGTGTGTGTATGTGTGTGCATGTGTGTATCTATGTGTGTGTATGTGTATGTGCGTATGTGTGTGTATGTATAATTGTATGTGTATGTGAGTATTTGTGTGTGTATGTATAATTGTATGTGTATGTGAGTATTTGTGTGTGTATGCATGTGTGTGTATGCATGTGTGTGCATATGCGTGTATGTGTGTGTTTATGTGTGTGTGTGTGT